TATTGTACATCGCAAGTGAAGCGATACAAGCGCCAGTATTGATCGGACTTTTGTAGGCGGGCAGGATTGGCGTCCGTGTCGGTATGCTGCAGCTTGATAGGGTGGCTATAAGGGTACCTCCCTTAGGAAAGGCGCCACGCAGCGCCTTCTCAGAGGCGCCGAATTAGGTCCTGCTAGGCGTATTAGTCCTACACCTACTGGGGGTTATCGTGCCGTTTGCCTTTGAGCAAAACTCCCCATGCGGGAATCCCAGCGCACCCAGGACCTGTCGATGTGAGCCACGGTTCTCCCTTTGGCCGATCGCTTAGAAAATCGATCCTCTGACCTGAGCTGATTCTTTAAGCAGTACCAGGCATAACAGCCCTGACTTTGGGTAAAATTTTCCCTATTAAAAATGGAAAGTTTTTGTGAGCGGACCTAAATTTGCGAAAAGGCGAAAATTTGGGAAATAAGAACCAGGAATTCGTTGGTAACTCAGTTTTTCCTGAACGTTCAGCAGCTTTGCAATAGCAAAAATTTGGGGTGTCCATATTTTTTTGATTGGCAGTGTACAAGGGGTTGGCTCTTACGAGCTTTCCCCTCATCAATTCTTTGTCGTAGCGGCAAATTAATGGTATGAGGCCGACGTGAAAAAACGTTGTTTTGCTAGGCGATTTATCTCTTGGATTCTTATCAGTTCTCTCTGTGTGAAATGTTCGGAACGTTGGCCAGAGGATTTTACAAAGTCACAAGGATGCACTTTTTATTTGCCAAAGAGACAGTGGTTGGTGCGGAATTGCAAGGACGTTGCACAGTACTTTTGATAGCACGATATTTGGGCACTGGGCACAGCGTTGGCACTTTTTGGGCACAGCGTTGGCACCTCCTAGGCTACACTTTTTGATCTGTATCTAGTTAAAAAACTGTTTCGGAGCTAATTTGGGTCCAGTCTTGCTAACATCTTCAATACTAAGGAGTTATCATTGTCAAAGCTAACTTCAGCCAGGAACGTTTACTTTTTTGCTTTTTTTGCTTGTTCCAGTACCACTTTTAGTGTTGTGGTATTGGAACAAGGAAAGAACGTACACTCGTATTCCCTGCAAACGATAGGGCGTAGGACGAGGGTAGATTTCCCGCCGATTGCAGGGAGATCGAATCCCCACGACAAAATTTTGCATTTCTGCGATTCTGCTCTTCTTATTTTCGCATAAGTCGGAACCTTTTAGCCGAAGTTCTGTCGCGGAGCACTTTCTATCTGTTCTTTTCACTTTTTTTCTTATCTACCCCATCATGCTTCCGTCATTTTCACCGTTTATTTTGTTTATTTATTTAGTTACTATTCAGTTATTCAATGATTTATTTACTTTTTGTGCCAAAATCCGATATTCCCTTGACGACGGCCACCAAAATATTCGAAATGTTCGCATAATGTAAAAGCTTGATAGCTCGTTCAGAATTTCAATCGTCCATGTTTCTCCAAATTGTCCCTACTTTTCGTGGCGTTGACCGAATCGTCCTGAAATTCTTGAAATAACTGTATAATCTCAATATAATAGAAAAATAGAGTATTTTTTCAGGATGATTTCACCGCAGACCATCATCAAACCTACTGCTCAAATAAAGCTCGAGGATCAATCAATGGAGGTGAGTTATAAAGCCGAATGTTCTCCTTTACGCTAAATGACTTACAGTGCTTGTCAGGGCTTCGGGTGGAGTTGTTTCTCCGTACACATTTTGGCCCTTCGACATCCTATGTCTATCAGTTGTTGCCTGCCCGTAGTGGCAACGACTAAGGGAAACGGGAGGGAGAGGGGGGGGGGGAGGCGCCGCTCCAAAACGTACGCACGCAGGAACGACCCACGCGACAATGGATGTGATTAGGTCACCCTTTTCCGACGAAATTCTTCTTTCGGCGTTCCCGCGAAGCCTTGGAACTCCCTCACCGAAGAATCCTAGAAAATGGCATTTATTTAGAATTCGATGTGTCAATATCAAATCACTTCGAGGAGTTCAGAGTGCCTTGCCTGCTCCCAAAGTCTCAAGGACTAGAATTTCACTTTTGATGGTGCTTTGGCTCTGGCCTTGAAACCGCCCACGCTTATCGTGTGGTGGGAGGAGGCCTGCATATTATTGTGGGTTCCTCGTTGGTGAACTATTGCGCCTAGCATAGTAAGAGGGGATGCGCCAATGAGAAGGGCCCACTGGTACGTCTGACTAAATTCGACAAGCCTGTATTGTGCACCTGAGCTGTTTTCTTCTTTGAAAAATGAGTCTTGAAAAATTATGAAAAAACCAAAAATAGGAAAACTTTTAAAAAAATACAGAAAGCAGACAAATGTGTAGGAAGAAGCGTGTGGAAAATTCTTTGAAAGCACTACTAGATCAGACACTTAGTGGCCAATCCTTCTGAGCCTCACCGCCGCTATTTCTTCTCTAGTATTGAAGGTAGCTAGCACGATAAACCTGCAAAATGTGGACGATTAGTATCCTTGGCAGGACTGAATTCGGCGCCCTTGAGCAACCGCTGCGTTAAGCCTTTCTAAGAAAGGTACCTTCATAGCGCCCTATCAAGCTGCAACATACCGACCCGAACGCCCACCGCGCCCGCCCGCCCACAAATGTCCGACCGATCCTGATGCTCGTATCGCTTCATTTGCGAAGTAAATATGAAGCGAAGGGATTGATATGAAGCGGCTGCGGTGCTGCATGGATATATGAGTACATACATGCACCCGGACCTAGCGTAGCCGTTACGGTGCCGACTGGGAACTCGTCCGAAATTGCTTTCTGGGTCGGTCGTGTAGAACAAGGTTTTGCAGGGTTTTCACCGTTTCACTTCGCCTTTTCGCCATTTCTGCACTATTCAGCACTCCTGCTACCAACCTGGACAGACTACCTAAATTATCGTGCCAACTGCTTTATACACGGAAGCTTTACATTTTGCGTCTAAACGGCGCGGCGAAATTATTCAAGATGCATCCCACGACTATAGGATGGGAGGAGATGTAAACCGGCACACCTTCCTTGTTGCCGATTCACTTCTCTTTAGTGCACTAGAAAGGGGCACCAGAAGACGTAATGTTTGAAATCGTCGCCTAATTCTGAGTCCATTCGATTATAGCGGATCTTGCCCTGAACCTGGATCGGAATTCGTACTGCAGTGCTTTCAGGTGTGGAACGGTGTCTCTAGCCCCTGCGTTACCTTTGCACTCTACAATTGAATAATAGAAGCATTGAAATGTGCAGTCTTGACACGCTTGGAGCGCGCTTTTTTCTGGAAATGAATTTGATTTTTGATTTTTCAATTTGATGCGCGGTATCTGTCCGCGAAAAACCTCTCAATATTGAGAATTAGTCTGACACTCACCCCCTGTCACTTCATGGTACCGCTTCGGCCTTTGCCTTTTTTTCTAGGAAATAATTAGCGCCCCATGTATAATTATTACTTTCCTCCAAACATAGAGCCGGTATTGTGTTTTTTACTTTCTAGCCAGTTTCAGCAGCCTTATTGAGCGATGGCTCGGAACAGCGGAAGCCTCGTTCGGGCCTTGTGACACCACAGAATCGAAGAGTCCGCAGAAAGGAGAGCATACATATCGATTACTCGAATTTTCCGAGTTTTCCGATTCCGCAATTATTCGATTCTTCATTGTCGCTGAGTATGAAAGCATCCTTCCCTAGCCGGCTCTGCGGCTTGCCTATGTGCACTCCTTATCCCTGAGCCAGAGTAGGCGTGGCATTTGAACATGGCACGGAACTGGTTACTCGTGGAATATTCCAGTCTGGGACAACTGTCATCTTGTTCTTTGTTGGACAGAGACACGACAACGATTGTGTCAAGGTGAAAATGTCTCACCAGAAGCATAGACACCTCCAGGTTAAGTCGAAATATCCGGCCACGCCTACCCGATCTCCAGGGATTTCGAGTATACCTGTTGGTAACTACGCAGGTACGCCATCGCGTTGTGATCATTTCCTGAAAAGTACGACCTCCCCTAATTCATTCCTATATACGCCCCTCGCCTCCCCATTCTACATACCTTTCTCTAGATTTTCCAACTTCCTGCCACTTTCTCTTTTTCCCCCGAAAACTTCCTGTTTTCAGCCAGAATTTTCGGGGGTGAGGGGGGGGGGGAAGGTCTTCAGGATTTAAGTATCATTTCAACCATCGGAAATGTAGTTGCTATAGATCTTGCAGTCCCTCTGCCAAGACGACGCCACCCCCCCCCCCCTTGTAGCCGTCCGTGAACAAGAAAAATAAACCACCAGAAAATTTCCTCGACACTCTCCCCCCCTCTTTCGTTGTGACCATCACAAACGATGCGTGCCGCTGTAGCTAGTACGTACTGTGAGCGCTTTAAGAGAAGAGGAGTGCACCATTGGGGAAAACACAGTGGTAGGCCTAACACCTCCCACACTACCATTAAGGAGTGATAGTCGATCCAGCTCTTTCGGTGATGATTCGCCCATCAGATATAGTTAATCCGCTCTACCTCGCACTGGTGGAGTAGTTGCTACTTACATGCCGGAGAACGTGGTCGCTCATTTAATGTGGCGCACGAAGGCTTTTCGTAAGCCCTCTATTTGAGATAAAAAAATTCATCCTACTGTGCTGGACCAATGGTGGCGTCACAAGTGTCTCAAAACAGCCGGAATACCTCCAAAAGCAACCGCCACGCGGTTTCAAATCAGCGCCGTAACCCGCTCTTTCGTGTATTCTTTCGGAATCCCGCCTAGACCCAGAAAACATCAAGAACAGTCCCCGCGCCTAAGCAATCATAGGCGTCTTTCCTTGAACAAGTAGTGTGGCCCTCTAAGATTGTGCCACTTCCGTGGCCTGGGCGAAGTACCAGAGGCTGCAACCCTCATAAACGGCAGTTCTGACGCCTCCCTAGTTGCTCCGCCCATAAGAACTCAAAGCCCATTTTCTGTTACGATTTAGCTTTTCATTTTTTTCACTGTTGATAGTTTTACACTGGACGAGAAATGACTAGTGAGCCACAGGCAGCATAGAGGTCCCGTTAGTGTCTAGTGAGGCTACCATGGGGTCTTTGCTTTCTTCTTCCCTGGAGTGTCATTAGCGGCCATAGGTTCGTTATTGAACGTCACCAGCCACAATACACAGTCGCGAGGTTTGTCTTCAAAAATCAGAGAACTACTGGCGGGAGTTCCCACGACGTTGAAAGCTTTCATTCAGCGATCCCTCAAGCCTGTATAGTACTCTGCATTCATGCGGAATAACCATACAGACGCCTACACACTGCTGAATAGGTGTTGTTTGAATAGCGCTCCTAGCACGGCTACTGAATTGTATTTCAATACTTTCAAAAACACGTACATATTTGCTTTTCAAACTTTTCCCCCAATATGGACAAATCTGTCTGTCAAAGTCGGCCTCCACAGGTGGCAAATCCCATTTCATTCCATTTCTAGTGTTGAGTTGTGCTGATACGTTTTTCTTATTTATGCTACAATCAATCGCTATAGACACCAGTTGACTAAGACCGGGTGCAGTGCGTTGTGTTTTCGTGGGATCCTTTCCGTTTGAGTCCTGTGCCATCCTGTCTTGTGCTTGACAAAGGCTTGAAGGTAATTGTCTGGCAGTACCCCTATCAAAAGTGCAGCAGCCGCTCCACGTACAAATAAAGTACGTAGCCACTCCCTACCCATTTCTTTGATATGGATCAGGCGCCTAAAGGAGTAGGCATTTACCAGTTCGCTACTTTCTTTTACTTTTTCCTGTAGATACCTATATACCTTCTATCCACAGGATGCATCGACAGTGGTCGATGAGAACCAGCAAAATGTCCCCACCAAACCAAACAACGACTACGAAATGATTTTATTTGATTTTCTATAGGTGGATTCATCACGGAAGACCTCGACTGATCGTCCGCTACTCACTTCCATCCAGCACAAACCATACCAAGGCAAAAAGCATCAGAATATAGCCACAAAGAAAGCGTCCGTGATGGCTCAAAAGAGGTTAGTTCTTCGTTTTCAGAGTGACGTCGAGAGAGCACCGATGGATGGCAGGCTTTTCATTATTGACTGGTATCGAAGCTTGTTCAATTAGTTGAACTGGGTTCGATTAGAGAATCTTTTCAGTTATTGACTAGGCGTATCGATAAAATATTTGTTGGGCAGTTAACGCCTAATATTCAATGCATCGACAGTTTCAGGAAGACCGGGATTTACTATTCAGTAAATGGCTTGCTTTCTTTGGACGTAATCATCATTCACATTACGTCACCAAGCCGAAAGAATATTGAGCGCCGAACGTCTAATGGTCTATGCGACCTCCCTAGTCAAGAGCTTTCCTGTCCATGATAAGTGCGGGTGGAGGCACATAATTACATATTTCGTTCGTCTATCCTTCTTTTCTCGCGGGGGCTTGTAGGTGGCGTCACTTGCGCCTTTGTCATGATGACCGTCCTTACTTCTATTAGGTTGTTGCATAAGTTCTTTCCCCCGATTTTTTTGTAAATATCTCAATAGCGAACCAGCCTGAAGATTAGAGGTATGCACCATCACCATCCACTACTCGACTCCAACGCTCAGGCAGCTTGTCGATTTCATCTTCACAGGAAGGGACGGGGGGCACAATTCACCACTGTGACATGGTTTTGCACTGGTAATTGTGCGGCATTGTAGCCTGCAAATGCAGGGTGGGTGAGTGATAGCTAGTGTGGTGAAAGAGTATCATGTACACGTCACGCACACGTGATGACGAAATACCAACCTCCATGCAAACGAAATACGGAAGGATCAAAACAGGGGGAAAAACTTATGCAACAACCTAATAAAATGGCAAACAGGAGAAACGCACCCATGAAATAGGCGATTACACCAAGTAAATGGACCCATACCGCGGAATATGCTTTCACGCATGGCACATCCTTTCTTCACGTCCAGCTTCCCAGCTCCTTTAGTCAGATGAGAGTGGCTGATGACCTGGCCCTCTTACTGACAGTTCTTTCAGCACCATTTTTGTAGGTGAATATGCCTTAGGTTTCAAATAGGAACCCGTGACAGTGACAATGACGAGAAGTTTGTTCTTTGGTCATCATAGCGGTGGAGCACATTGCACATTGTCATTTTTTCATATATTTTTTTGTTGGGATCGGCAAGAATCCCTGGAAGATTCCTGGATGAAGAGCGAATAACTATCGAGAGGGAATGTTGCATTTTTCTTTCAAGCACGCGTTTCATTCTTTCTTCGTTCATTAAAAGTGCTTCACGTCAGGTGTGCTGAACAGTTGCTTTATCGAATTGCGTCGGTGATCATTCGTCAGCGAACCGGCTGAAAAAGTGTTGTTATGACGTCAAAAAAGAGCATTTTCCCACCTGTAGCCCACATTTTGCTAGTTAGTCGTTCTCTTCCTACCACATGTTCAGTCATTTTCCCGATACTTCCCTACTAGTACAACTTGCCAGACATGCATGGGCACCGAAACAGCGAGCTCTGGGATCAGGCACGTCGTAGGTTGGGGATCCTCAGAGCGAGGGAATCGTATTTGGCCCAGTTTTCACTGATTTTGATTTTTGCCGATTTATCCTGTTTTAAGTGCGCTATATATTCCCAGCTCAGAAACCTGTCTTTGGGAGGAAGGGTGAGCTTTCAACGGAACTTGGAAAAGTGGTAGGAACTTGGGAGGATCCAGGGTAGGTGTGGGGCGCACTAGAGGAGGAATCTTGGAGAGGGAATGGTTCTGTTCTGCAAAAGTTTTCCTCAAGAGCAGAACGTGTCCCTTTGGATACCACGCTAAATTACTAAGCGACGAAATGGCTCCAAAACTAAAGAAATAAAATTTTCTTGCAAAATCTTTCTATATGTGACTTTTCTTCTTTTCCTGCTTTTGTTTCTGCATTCTTACAGCTGTAGGATTTGCCATAGGTGTAGCTAACTACGAGCCGTGAGCGCTTTCAGACAGAGGAGGGACGCACCAATAGGCGAAACACGATGGAACGCTTAACACCCACCCACCCCCCCCCCCCACTCCCATCCGACATTATTATTGCGGACTGGTACTCGATCAAGCTATTTTTGCGAATTTGGTGCTGCTAATTCTCCAGCCCATGGCCGTGCATTCAGAGCGGATGGCTGAAAATTTCGGACTCGCTATGCTGTACATTCATGCCAAGAAAGTGGCCACTAGCTTTCTGCCCCCTATGAATAGGTCAACGACGGACAGTTGCGGAGCATTTTGCGGCGCTGTTCGGGTATGAGAGGGGCATTTTGCACTTTCGCTAGGTCATTTTGCTAGTTCATGTTAATTCTGTGAAGGTGCGATAAGCAAGCCACTTTTCCAGAAATTCACAGTATTTACAAGTCGACCGAGCTGGGACCTAGGCCTCTCCTAAATGTAACGCAGGACCATTTGATGCCCACCATGCTGAAGTAGGCCTGTTTGACTTTACTCTTTAACTTTGCGATGAATGGGACCGTTTAGTAAGACTTTACTTCATGTTAATTCTATGGGTCGGCGAATCTGCCCGTTGACAAGCGGATGTCCCCTTCAACTCAAAAATCCAACTTTGCGGCCTTCCCCACCTCTTTACTTCTGATTGTAAGTCCTCAGAAAGATGTCGTCAACCGGGACCGAAAGGTCTCTTTCCCTCACATTGATGCGGACCCTTCTCCAGCAGCTCTAGTAGGTTCTATTGAAGAGTATTCTGCGGGTATGTCGTAATATGTCACACTTGTGGGCGTGGCGAGCGACGACGCACCCAACGGACGAGTTGTCCTGTCTGGCCGTTTCAGATCGGGTATTGAAGGGACGGGCAAATTCTGCATCGCTTGTCATGAGGTCTTGTCACTCCGTGAATTCATAAGTGTTTCGCCGCTTCGCGCTCCAATCGACAAACTGATGCACATCGAGAATTTTGGCTTGACCGCACGGTATGCCGCGCGCGGCGACGTGACAAATTGTACGATTTTCTTGGCCGTTTCCCATGCTCTGCACTACGACGTGCATCGTATGCATCAGAAACTTTTCAGTTTTGAAGATTTTTGATTCTCCGGTTTTTTTCTTTCGTTGTGCCTGCATTCCGTGTACATTGCTGGGTGTGCGCGCGCAATAGCCATACGTCCATCATCTTGTTTGCATCGAGGCACCAACGAACGGCGTTTTTACTGCTGCACAGCAAAATCGATAACCAACAAAATGTCAGCAGAATTGCACTTCCTCCTCCTTGTTGACAACGTTTCTATATCTATTCGGCATGGGGCGTGACACAAGCCAAGTGCAACAGCCATCCATAAAGGGCAGCTAAAATTCTGGTAAATATTGCAAGTATTCGGGAGGGACTGCTTCGATTGGCCACTCTTTTGAAGGGCGTGTCGGAATTGGTCACCAGAGAATTAGTCAGAAGCAGCAGCGATGGAAGCTTCGTTGTCCTTGTTGGTAAGCTAGACCCCTGCCAGATAGGTGGGTTGCGCCACGCACTCCTCTTAAACGTAAAATACTGGTCTGGTCCGCTTCCGGAAGCGATGAACTGTTGCCAGCGGTCCATCCCTCCACAAAGGGGCGGGCCTGCCATCTCCAATGGGCACCTATCGAGCTTCATCTCCTCTTCGATAGGTACTACTGCGTATTCCGCTTTAAATGTTTGCCTAGAGGAAATTATGTCGAATTTTTATAAGCCGGTCTTGTGTCTGAATAACATGCCTGTTCCGTTCCTTATCGCGAGAATCTGGCCATGCAAAAAAGGGAAGCAAACAACCTTTGGAGAGGTGAGGGGTGGGTTTGGGGGTCTGAGGGATTTCCTTGTACAAAATTGCGATTATAGTAGCATAGGCCATAGCTCTCTCTCTCTTAGACTAACAGAAGGAAGGAGCTCCTGGGTAGGGGAACCTGACACTGACAAGTGCAAATACATACAGAGAACAGTAACCCTTGGCAGCCATAATGGATTCCACTTTTTGCTCGACCAAGGTTGACTATCATCGACTTTTTTTACTTCATGTCTCCATCACAGCCCTTCGTAGTGATGTTGTCAATTTGTAAAAGTGCTATCAAAAACAGCTTAAGCTGAAGAGCCGAAGTTATTACAAGTTTTTGCGCAAAAAAAACTATGCTACAAAAACCTTAGTGCTCACCAGAGCGTGTCATACGTTTGGGATCTCCAAAAAGAGGTCGTACTCGGCCGCTGAAGCAGAACGCTGTCGGCTTGGGAAAATTCTTCCTGACTGTTGATTTTTCCTGTCACGCGCACTATCTCACTCTAGTCTGCAGCTCTGCAGATCTCCTGTTTATGAAAATTGATGCCAGCTGTCTACCAGCCCCCCTCCCCATCCCTCTCTCCATCCCCGCCTGACGATAAATGTTCGAGAATGCCTCATAAGTGGATCAGTCTTTGTGGTGGGAGGGGGTCGCACAAAAGGAGGATTTTGGGATGGGGGTCGTTAGGGAAATCCTCCCAAACAGCACGACGTGTTACCCACACTGTTACCCACAAAGTGAGCTCACAGTGTGGGATTCAACCGGTTTTCTGAAGCGCTGGCCTGGTAAGAAGTATTATAATTGAACAACGGTTTGGCCGCAGTAGTGTTGCTGACTCATTGCATAGCTTCAATTAGACCTCAAATTTGCGTTAAGAACCGGGCCGAGCAGCGTGCGCGAAATTCCATTTGCAAACAGGGTACAGTATCATGATATGTGAAATACGATGTCAGCGGAACTCCTCTCATAACATCCTCATCGAGTAAGACTTCACTCTCCCCTTCCCCAGCCTACCAACCATTTTCCTAAGTTCTGCCAACTCCCTACCATCTCAGTTTTTTTTTGAGGAAGCATTTATCGAGGGAAGGGGTAGGGGGGGGGATGAGGGGATGTATAGCGGATAAGAAACGGGAAAATTCGAGGAAGCGGAAAATTCGAGAAAAATCAACTGCCGGAAAAAACTTCTAGCGGCTCGGAAGACTTTCAGGCAACCGCAGCTCCCTACCCCACCTCCACAGCGACCAAGTGGGACAACCTGATGATATTAGGTTGTCCGGAAGTTCTCAGCGTTTTGAGTGTTTCACTTTAAACGATCATAACTTTCTTAATACTCATCGGATTCAATCAAAAC